CACTCTGCTGCTCAGGCTGGAGGGCAACTGCAATCTCGGCTCACTGCAACCTCTGCCTCCCAGATTCAAGCAACTGTCCTGCCTCAGCCTCCCAAGTAGCTGGGACTACTGGCATGTGCCACCACGCCCAGCTAATTTTTGTATTTTTGGTAGAGACGGGGTTTCACTATATTGGCCAGGCTGGTTTCGAACTGCTGACCTCAGGTGATCTGCCTGCCTGGGCCTCCCAAAGTGCTGGGATTATAGGTGTGAGCCACTGTGCCCAGCCTCCCTTCTTTATATATGTTTTATGGTGACTACAATTTGTAAGGGGAGAGTTCTCCAAATTTGAAGAAAATCACAGCTTAAAAAACATAATAATTCAGAAAAAAAGCATGGAAGTTATACATCAAAATGTTAACTGTGGTTTTTATATTAGAAATAGGAAAAATTGGCCAGGTGAGGTGGTTCATGCCTGTAATCCCAGCACTTTGGGATGCCAAGTCTGTCAGATCACCTGAGGTCAGGAGTTTGAGACCAGCCTGGCCAAAATAATGAAACCCTGTCTCTACTGAAAATACGAAAGTTAGCCAGGCGTGGTGGCATGTGCCTATAATCCCAGCTACTCAAGAGGCTGAGGCAAGAGAATCACTTGAACCCAGGAGACAGAGGTTGCAGTGAGCCAAGATCATGCCACTGCACTCCAGCCTGGGTGACACAGTGAGACTCTGTCTCAAAAAAAAAAAAAAAGGAAATAATAAGTTAATTAAACGCTTAATGCCTACTGAATTAAAAAAAATTTGTTTTACTGTTCTTAGACTTAAAGTGTAATGCTATTTTCTTTCATTCCCTTAAGAGTGTATCTGGGCTGTGATATTTTCCCAGAGCTGGAATCTTCCCGGGCCCTTGGCTTCTCTTTATCTTAGACAAGGAAAACTGGTTGCTTTTCTTAAAATCAACCTTAGTGAAATATAACTTATATGCAACAAAATGACCCACAGTAAGCATACAGCTTGATGAGTTTTGACAAGTGTATATGCCATGTAACCACAATCAAGACAGAGAACATTTGCATTAGCCCAGAAATTTCCCTAGTAACGCTCTGTAGTCAGTCCCTCACTTTCCTTGTCCACAAACCACTGATCTGCCCTCTCTCATTAGAAACTACTTCTGCCTTTTCAAGAACGCCATGTAAATGGAATCATACAGCTGGGTGCTTTTTTGTGTGTGGCTTCTTTTGCTCCACATCATATACGCTGTGTGCTTCTGAGCTGGAAATTGTACATGCTGCCAACATCGGTCTGTCAACATCCCCCTGACGTCTGATAACCAGATTTTATGCCTGGTTCCAGTTGGTCTATTCCTGAAAGCACAGCTACACACTGTCTAACTGAATTGATGCTCTCTCAAGTATGATCTCTACATGGTATAAATTTCCCCCAGAATGCAAACAGCATTATTGTTTTATTTCTTTTTTAGAGACAGGGTCTCACTATGTCACCATTTTATTTATAAAAGTTATACTTACTTATTACAAAAAAAAAAAAAAAAAGAAAATGTAGACTTAAGGAAACATGCAATGTAAAAATTGCCTATAATACAACCAATTAAAATAATTACTGGGAATATTATATTTTTCCCTTAATTTTATTCATATAGTCATAATTTTTGTTGTTTGCTCTCAATAAGAACACAGTCCTACTTTGTCTACTGCTGTATAACTTATTCTTTTTTGAGACAGAGCCTCACTCTGTTGCCCAGGATTGCAGTGGCATGATCTAGGCTCACTGCAACCTCCACCTCCTGGGTTTGAGTGATTCTCCTGCCTCAGCCTCCCAAGTAGTTGAGACTATAGGTGCCCGCCACCATGTCCAGTTAATTTTTGTATTTTTAGTAGAAACGGGGTTTCACCATGTTAGCCAGGCTGGCTTTGAACTCCTGACCTTTTGACTCACCTGCCTTGGCCTCCCAAAGTGGCATGAGCCACTGCACCTGCAACTTATTCTTTCTTTAAGAATATTGTGGGACTATTTTTCTATCTCAGTAAATATAAATCTACCTCACTATTTTAAAGGATGTATAAATTACCACAGTTAGTTTAAGTCATTTCAATGTAAAGGACATTAGGCTTTTCCAATGATTAGCCATATGGGAGAATTTTAAAAAATTTTTATTTATTGATATTTTAATTACATTTTTTTTGAAATGAGATCTTACTTTGTCGCTTACGCTGGAGTGCAATGGTGAGATCACAGCTCACTGCAGCCTTGACTTCCTGGGCTCAGGTGATTCTCCTACCTCAGCCTCCCAAGTGGCTGAGAGTATAGGTGTGCGCCACCACATCCAGTTAATTTTTGTATTTTTTGTAGAGATCGGGGTCTTTCCACATTGTCCAGGCTGGTCTTCAACACCTGGGTTCAAGTGATCCACCTCCTCGGCCTCCCAAAGTGTTGGGATTATAGGCATGAGCCACGGCACCCAGCTGAGAATTTCTTAATAGAATGTTGGAAGGACTAGGGCTCCCACCCAAGCCCCACATTCCTCTTTTAGGTTTAGAACTAAAGAGAATCACCAGCGCTTGGGTACATGGCCAGCGGTATCCTTAAGCATAAACAGCCAAGGTTCTCCAGGCCTTCCTTATGCACCGCAGAACCCTCCTTACCTGCTGAAGAGTTCTGGTTCTCTGAGTTACTACCCGCCTCTCTCTCTCCTAAGGGCCTGGAGTTCATTTGAAGTCATTCCTTTGCTGACTCTGGCCAAATCATTCAGATCTGTTGAGCTAACATTCTTAAGGATTACTGGTCAACTGTGGTTTGAAATCTTTCTATTTTTATTTTTTGACCTATGACAGCATGGCCAAGTGGTTTGGAAATGTACACTCAGTCCAGATGAGTACTGGATTCGGGTGTTAAGTGAAATAAAGTAGAGGGGATGGAGAGTATTAATGGGGAAATCACCACATACAACTTTTTGTCCCGAGCTTCTCAATGTGATTCGAGTGGATGCCCTTGGCAGGAGGGGCCGGGTGTCTTTCTTTCCCCTCCCAGTGCTGAGGGACAGCGCTCTCCACTCCTCCAACCTCGGGTTCCTAGTCAGGAAACCATCCCACTGAAATACAAGCTCAAACACTCTGAAACCTAAACATCAAGTGAGAGATGGGCACTACTGATGACAGAAATTTTAACTGTCCTGGAAGAAAATTAGATTTAACCTTTAAAGATGCATGGCAGGCCGGGCGCAGTGGCTCACACCTGTAACCCCAGCACTGTGGAAGGCTGAGGTCGGTGGGTTGCCTGAGGCCAGGAGTTCGAGACCAGCAAAGTGAAATCCCATCTTCACAAAAAAATACTAACATTAGCCAGGTATGGTGGGGCGGGCGCCTGTGGTCCTAGCTACTCAGGAAGCTGAGGTGGGAGGATCACCTGAACCTGGGAAACTGAGGCTGTGGTGAGCTGTGATTGTGCTACTGGACTCCAGCCTGGGTGACAGAGTGAGACCCTGTCTCAAAGGAAAAAAAAAAAAAAAAAAAAAAAAAAGGCCAGGCATGGTGGCTCACGCCTGTAATTCCAGCACTTTGAGAGGCCAAGGCAGGTGGATCACAAGGTCAAGAGATTGAGATCATCCTGGCCAACATGGTGAAACCCATCTCTACTAAAAATACAAAAATTAGCTGGCTGTGGTCGCATGTGCCTGTAGACCCAGCTATTTGGGAAGCTGAGGCAGGAAAATCATTTGAACCCAGGAGGCAGAGATGAGCTGAGATCACACCATTGCACTCCAGCCTGGCAACAGAGTGAGACTCCATCTCAAAAAAAAAAAAAGAAGAGAAAAAAGAGATTCATTGCAGCTGGGGCTGGAGAAGCTGAATACAAACCATCATGATTTGAGCACTGAGGGTCTAAGGCGAGAAGGAAAGAACAAAACAGAAAAAGCTGCTTCACATGCAAATGGGGGAGCTAGAAAACGTACCTTCCTACCAGGGGACCTAGGATCCCTTCCTGTCCCTCCAAATAATAAACGAACACAATCTACACAGGCACAGGATTCCCTGCTGGCCTGATAGGCACACATGACACTTGTGCCTGCTTTTTATCACATGTTTATCCTCAGCCCCGACTGCCTGTGCAGGTGAATTTGGGGCCTCTTTCTGCTGGAATCCTCAGTGTTCCCCTGAACTTTGCAAAGGTGAATCACAGGCCAGACTTTAGGTCACCCTAGGAAGTCAGAGGACCATTGTTGCATCCCACTTTTGCAAGTTTGCTATTGAGGTACATGACTTCCGCAATCAGGAAAAGAAGTCACAGAGGATCTACTCTAAGATGGGTCAAAAAATCTTCAGGCAGCTAGGGTGCAGTGGTTCATGCCTGTAATCCCAGCACTTTGGGAGGCTAAAGCAGAAGAATCACTTGAGCCCAGGAGGCTGAGGCTGCAGTGAGCTACCATTGTGCCATGGCACTCCAGCCTGGGCAACAGAGTGGGAGCCTGTCTCTTAAAAAAAAAAAAAAAGAAAGAAAATCTTCAGGTAACCTTTATCTGAACATGTATTTCCTGCATGACACAAGTTCCTGGTATTTAATGGCTGATTCTCTCAACATGACACTGTGTTGTGTATTTATGAGGCTCTGCAGGTCCAGAGTTTTTATTTTTTTGAGGTGGAGTTTCGCCGTTTTGCCCAGGCTGGAGTGAAGTGGAGCAATCTCGGCTCACTGCAACCTCTGCGCCCAGGGTTCAAGCGATTCTCCTGCCTCAGCCTTCCGAGTAGCTGGAAATATAGGCACCTGCCACCATGCCCGGCTAATTTTTGTATTTTTAGTAGAAACTGGGTTTCACCATGTTGGCCAGGCTGGTCTTGAATGCCTGACCTCAAGTGATCTGCCCACCTCAGCCTCCCAAAGTGTTGGGATTATAGGCATGAGCCACTGTGCCTGGCCCCAGAGTTCTTAAAAGCCCTCATGTGTTAGCTTACAACTGCTGAACCATCCCTTCACTACCTTAGCCTAGAAACCAAACCTCCAGGCCCAAAGCCAAACAATCAGGAGCCCAGAATCAAGGTGTGTTTTTCTCAGAAGCCTCAAGCTCTGCCCTCTCTTCCTCGTAAATCAACCACAGAAGAAAAAAATAGCTGTACAGAGAAACCTGTTAACTAGCCTCTAGCTTATTCCTGTTATTTATATTGAGAAAGGAAGGAAGGTCACCATTTGGGGCCTTAGAGTCAGGCTCTAAGTTTTAATTATAGTTCTTTCACTTGACACCTGTGTGACTCTGGATATCTTACTGTACTTCTCTGAAGCTGAGGAGCTGTTGACACAATTACAGGCTGTGAGGTTGTGCCAGTATCTGCAATTAGAGTGATGATCCTTGTACCTGCATTGCCTAGAGCCCTTTCCTCAAAGTTCCTCTAATCCTCTAATCATATATATCTTTGGAATTGTCCTGAGATAAATCTTCAGGCATGAGCTCCATGAGTTCTCTCCTTTAGGCTAGAATGTTTTCTCCCTTAGTCATTGTAAACCTAGAAACATTTCTTACCCTAATCATGTGAACTGTAAGCTCTCACCCAGATAAACCAGATTTTCTTCATTGCTGGCAAGTTTCATTGTTGGTCCAGTTTGACCAAGACCGCTAGGATGGGAACCTGGGGACGTCACATATTGGGTGGATACATGATAGGATGGAAGTGTTTTCAGACTGTGAGTCCTAAATAAGCATTTTTTTAAAAAAATGATTTTTTTTTAAATGAACAGATAGAAAATATCACAGTACTTGGTATATAATAGGGTTAAGTATGGTTTCACAACATTTTTGTTTCTGTGTGTGTGTGTGCGAACTCAGTCTTAATGTAAAAAATGTATATATTTAACAACCTTGTGAATATATTATGTGTATATATGTACATATTATTTTAAAAAATTTTTAAATTTTTAATTGTTTTGAGATGGAATCTCACTCAATCGCCCAGGCTGGAGTGCAGTGGCATGATCTCAGCTCACTGCAGCCTCCTCCTCCTGGGTTCAAGCAATTCTCCTGCCTCAGCCTCCCAAGTAGCTGAGATTACAGGCGTCCACCACCATACCCAGCTAATTTTTGTATTTTTAGTAGAGATGGGGTTTCACCATGTTGGTCAGGCTGGTCTCAAACCCCTGACCTCAAGTGACCCACCTACCTTGACTGCCCAAAGTGCTGGGATTACAGGTGTGAGCCACTGCGCCCGGCCTTTTTTTTTAAAAAAAAAAAAACCTGAGATGGGATATTTGCTATGTTGCCCAAGTTGGTCTCAAACTCCTGGGTTCAAGCGATCCTCTCACCTGGGCCTCCCAAAGTGCTGGGATTACAGGCGAGAGCCACAGTGCCTGGCTTCAGGCAATAAAGTTTAAAAGCCATTGATCAAGTGTTGAGTGTCAGATCTCCAAAGAGATTGGGTGCTGCAATTTGGCTGCTGATGCCAGGTGATTTTCCCTCCATGTTAACACAGAGGCTGCCTCACCAGAGGATGCCTCCTTTGACAGCTGGCAGCTTATAGCCAGTTCTACCTAAAGCCTCTGCACTTCCACCTGGAGTCTAAAGCTGCGAACATGGCTGCTTGGCTCTCCATACCCAGGGCATGTTTAAGGAGAAGCATAGGAAATCTAGCAGCACTTTTGAGACTTTCCTATTTCCTACCTCTTTTTTTCTTTTTGAAAACAAGAACCTCACGTAGGCACAGAAATGAAAATGCTAGGAACACACAAGGGAATTTGCTTAAATTTTTGCTTCACCAGCTCAGATCATCCTTTCCAGAACCACCAGCAGCAGTAAATGGTCAAACAGCCTACAAAACAGCTCACCTCTCCCAGTGCACAAGTATTTGCATTTATGGCATTCCAGGAGTCCTTCCGCCTCTGACTGGTAATATTCCACCTCCTCTTGTCCAGGCTTGGGGGTTGAGGGCAGATATCTCCCTGAAGGGGGTTCACTATAACCAAAAAGCATACATGGCCGTTAGGGGGTCTCTCATTCAATAGCTTGTTTCAGTTTAGAACTCGTGACTCCTTGTGCTGAGCCCAAACATAAAAGACTATGCAGAACAGAAATAGAATGTGTCACAGTATTTTAAACTCCAGATAATTCTCTGGTTTAGTGGCCCCATGAGACATCCAAATACTTGGCCCAACTCCACTAACCACATTACACATGCTGTGATCGGTACCCCTGAGCACCACCTTTGATGATTTGTCTGTCTGTGGCAGCTGTCTAACCAGGTTGCTGTGAGCTGCATTCCTGTGAGTGCAAGTTCTCGGTTCAGCATGCACCAGGCCTCTTCAAAGCCTGTATACATTCACATGACTTGGATGCCCAGGCAGGCATTCTCTTCCTCCCTTTGTTACTTTGGAAAGTGCTGAGTCAGCAATAACTCTCCAGGCATGTGGGAGCTGCAGATAACGGATTTTGACACCATCACATCATTTCTTTCTTTTTTTCCCTTTTGAGACAGAGTTTCGCTCTTGTTGCCCAGACTGGAGTGGAGTGGTGCAATCTCAACTCAACTCCTGGGTTCAAGCAGTTCTCCTGCCTCAGCCTCCGGAGTAGCTGGAATTACAGGCATGCACCACCACGCCCGGCTAATTCTATATTTTTAGTAGAGATGGGGTTTTTCCTTGTTGTTCACATGGGTCTTTAACTCCCTATCTCAGGTGATCCGCCCGCCTCAGCCCCCCATAGTGCTGGGATTACAGGCGTGAGCCACCGCGCCCAGCTATCATCACATCATTCCTGCCTCTGCTAGCCCTGACATTTTCTGTTCCTTCTCCTTCCCTTTATGCAGCACATCCTGAACTTTGTCCATGATTCACGGGGCAGGGGTGGGAGGTGTGCATTCTTTTGCTGGGCTCCCGCAATCTTTCTAGAACATCATGTCTCTTAGGTTTGAAATTTTAAAAAACTTTCAGTGTGCACAGGAGGCCCCTGTTCAGCTCTCTACACTCACAACCTCATGCTCACAGACAGAGCCATGGTGAACTACCCACTTCCCTCCAAAAGATGACTACTTTCCCATGCCTCTGGGTTACTATGGAAGCTATTTTTCTGCTTGGGACACCTTTTCTCTCCCTCCCCAGTCTTCTTCTTTTTCCTTTTTTTTTTTGAGATGAAGTCTCACTTTGTCACCCAGGCTGGAGTGCAGTGTCAATGATCTCGACTCACTGCAACCTCCGCTTCCCAGGTTCAAGCAGTCCTCCCACCTCAGCCTCCCAAGTAGCTGGGATTACAGGCATGTGCCACCGCGCCCGGCTAATTT